GTATTTGTAGTAGTAGTAGTAGTAGCAGCAGTAGTAGTAGTAGTAGTAGCAGTATGTTGTTGTATACTTGAGGTTTACGTCCTCGCTCACAAGTCCCATCCCACGCGTTCTTTTGCAGCTCTCCAAGCCGCCTGAACGCCTCCCAGGGTCTTCCATCCCATTTGTCCTGGCGAAGCCCCGCTCAAACTTGCGTGAGCTCTCTTACAATAGAAAGCTTTGTTGCGCAGCAAGACTTCGATGACGGCCGTGTTGTCCTTGTTCTTGACGGTATAGCTATGCTGGCCTTTACCCTGGCATTGGGGAAGGGCCTGCTGCGGGATCTGCAGGCTCACCAAGTCATACCCCGCATACGTCTTCGGGCCCTCCTCCTCCTCGACCTTCTTCGCACGGCGCCGGCCGTGCTTGCGGCGAAAGCTCGCCGTCTGTCTCATGGCACGCTTCGCCGGCTTCGCCGGCGTAGCCAGCACTTCCTTCTTCGCAGCTCGCCTCTTCTTCTGCATGACCTTGTCGCCCTGCTGCCCAACCGGCTCGATGCTCTTGTCCTCGTCGCTCTCCATGAACGGTGCTGCCATGGGCTCATCCTCGCTGACCTTCCATCAAATAGTGGTACAGTAGCTTAGTACTATTAAGTCGGTAGTCGTAGTAGTAGTAGTAGTAGTAGTAGTAGTAGAAGTAGTAGTAGTAGTGGTAGTAGTAATATAGTAGCAGTACTATAGTAGTTATAGCTATAGTAGTTAGTATAGGAAGTATTAGTATATATAGTAAAGTAGTAGCAGCAGTAGCAGTATAGTAGTATAGCAATAGTGTCGCAGTATAGTGCAGCAGGTAGTAGTGGTCGTCTACATATATATATATATATATGGGTATAGTCGAGTACATGAGTATATATAATCGTAGTTTTTATATCATATACTAGAAAGTAAATAGCTTTGTACTAGCTGGCCTCTCCGTCCAAGACAGTTTCGTGGCACCAAGGGGGATTCACAGGGCTGTCGAAGTCGCTTGGCAGATCCTGTCGAGACGGGATGGAGTTTAATTTTGTAGCAAACATGGAAAAGCGCACGAATCCTTCTCCGGCGACGAGAAGTCTTCCAATTTCACTGAGCCCTGCTTCTTCTTCTTCGGCTCGCTGTCGCTGTCGCTTGGCCCATCCTGCAAACATACAGAAACAACTCTATATTTCAGATGACTCACCCCCGTCCTTCCCAAATACCGCGTCCTGTTGGCCCTTGATCTTCTTCGCCTCGATGTCGCTGTCGCTTGGCAAATCCTGACAAACACGCAATGTTACCAAACAATTATGACATGTTCACACCCGTCCTCGTCTAGCGAGTCCAGTAGGGCCTTGATCTTCTCGGTGTCGCTTGGGCAATCCTGACAAACACGCAATTTTTATCAAACAACTATGACTATGAACTGTTACACCCGTCCTCCTCTAGGCTTTCCAGTGGGCCCTGCTTCTTCTTCTTCGGCTTGATGTCGCTGTCACTTGAGCAATCCTGACAAATAGGCGAATGCACAAGCAGCTCTATGGAGCTGGTTCACATCCGTCCTTCCCCTCTCGCGACTCCAGTGGGCCCTGCTTCTTTCTCTTCTTCGGGTCGATGTCGCTGTCACTTGCCGAATCCTGCAAAAGAGGCAATAGCACACAGCTGTTGCCAACGAGCGTTACACAACACTCGTCCTCCTCGGAGTCCAGACATGGGCCGACAAATGGGCCCAACTTCTTCGGCTCCACTTCGCTGCCGCTTCCCACATCCTGCGAAAGTATTTAAGGCAACCACGAAAAACTCTTATGTGTGCATGAACCTTACACTTTACAATCGTCCTTCTCACCAGATGACGTCCCGGGGCCCTGAACGTCGCTGTCGCTGTCCTGCAAAAGCCCACAACTATGCATAACTTCAAAATATTGCAACCTTACACACCCGTCCTCCTCTGCCGAATCCAGACACGGGCCCTTCGGCACGCCGATGCCGCTGTCCTGCGAAACGATAAGCAACTCTTCTGCGTGAGCCATACTTACTCCGTCCTTCTCTGATGGGCCGATCTTCTTCGGGTGGCCCTTGCAGCAATGCAACAACATACCATGAAGCAAGCATTATAACTTGGAACTTCTACACCAACTCTGCCTTCTTTCGGGAAGGCTTCTTGTTCCTCTTCAAGTTCTTCGAGTCACCACTTGACTCCTGCAAAATGACGGGACTGCAACATACTTGTTTGAATGAGCGATGAACATCACGAAATCCTCGGGCTTCTCGGAGCTCGAGTCCATGGCATGGATCCCCTCGGCCTTTTCGAGGTCGGTTGCATCATCCTGGAACAAGCAGTTTTTGATCATGACTGAGACATGCTATCACAACGTCCTTCTCCGCGGATGATGTCAGCACGCTTCGGGGCTCCTATAAAGGGACATGCGTAATCCATTCGAACATCACAGGACATGTGCATGCACTGCACACAATGAATCCTTGGCATCGTCATCATCATCATCGATAACCACCGGCCACGGTTCGAAGATAGGTTCATCTAGATCCACTTTTGGCCGTGGCCGACACAACCAGGGGCCCGTCGGGTCCTAATGCACACACACCTTCACATATGTCCGAGCCCCAAATGCAACAATTCAATCTAAGGCTTGAGGCAGTCCTCTGGCAGCTTCTTCCCAGAGGCAATCATCTTCATATCCTCCTCGTGCATGCACATTTGTCACAACACGCACTCATTCCTTAAACACAAAGCCTCGTCCTCGGTCATCGATGGCGAGGACGGTGGCGTCGGAATGTCCGACGCTCCAGCATAGGAGGCCCTCCTGTCGCGGTCCGGGTCATCCTTAGAGCACCGCGCTATATTTATAATCATTGCACGCAACCCCGACATGCAACCGAGTGGCCATGGCTTCCGGACTTTCTTGCGATGCCATCTTTGACTGCAAAGCTTGAGCCCGGTTCTGCTCCGCTCGCTTTCTCACTTCTTCATATATTTCAGGTGCAAACATATTGGCCTGAAGCTCCTCGAGCTTCAGATCCATCGGATCATCACCATCGCTGCACTCCTATCCATGTTTCATGTTGCCACTCTCACGGAACTGCTGTGAGTGAGGACCAGCCTCCTCGGAGGTAAGCTCCGCCAGGAGCATCATGGAGTCCTTGTCCGAGAAATCCTCGAAGTCATGTTGCAAAGTATAGGGATATATGGTGGGAGAAGAAATTTTTACCAACCTATCCTCATCTTCCGAACGATCTCCAAGCTGTCGTGTCGAGGCTTGCGAAAGCCGGGGCTCTTCCTCAGATCGTGCACATGCATGCAGTCCACTTAAAAACCGATCTGCGTGCATGCTAAAAGCATGCCCAGCCTCGTCGGCAATCGGTGTCGGCTCTTCGGCGTCGGCAATCGGTGCCGGATCTTTGGTGTCGGCGATCGGCGCCGGCTCTTCGGTGTCGGCGATCGCCTGCGCGTCGCCCTTCATCTTTTCCTTCTTCTTCGGATCCTGCCATGGACAAACAAAGCGTTATCAAGCCTTCGTGCAACTTAAACCTGCAACCTAACGGGCTCACCTTGACCCTGAGGCCCTTCTTCAAATCGTCCACTCTCTCGTATCTGCTGCGCTTGCCTCGGCTGTATCTGCAAACAAATGCAAGGCGACATAAGGCGACCATGCACTTGCACACAGGAGTTGCAGACATAATTCGCGACCAAGTCGCTGCTTCTGAACAAGTAGCGCAAGCCCTGTATCAGCTTGCGAAGTCGGCAAGCTTCCTCGGCGGCCTTTCCTCGAATTGACTCGTTGTCTCGCACCACCAGCAACTTCCCCTCCAATAGGCGGTTGAGTACCAAGAAGACGTCTGTTATGAAGTAGCCGGATGGTACCACGCTGGGCATCATCGTCGCCCAGGGTTTTAGCCACCTGTAGTGCAGGCTGATCTCTGCCACAGTGGGTCGCGCAAGCTCACTCGTGAGCTTGATCACCTTCCCTCCTCGCCAGGAGGGGCTTTGCAGCAGCAGCATCATCTCGGCCGGGAGGTGCTCGTAAGTCATTGCAGCCAGAATGACCTCGATATGCTGTCGTGCAACCGGTCATCTTCCAACAGAGCGCTGCAAACAAACATCAAATGCATGCAAGGCACCACCGTCTCGTAGGTCCAGCTGACTTTGCCAGCGCCTATGATAAAATCAGCTGTGCAATGCATGGTAAGATCAATGATAGAACGGCCCTTCCAAAATGCATGTCGAGTCACGCACCGATCGCCATGTCCGTGGGGAGCGGGAGCGGCTCCGGCAACGGATGATCCCTCCGATCCAGGATTCGAGCAAGCGCCTGCGCCGCACGCTCTCCGTCATCCATGGCTGGCGACGCTATCGAATTGAGGGCGGGGAAGTCTCAAACACCCTGTGGTAACTTCCCCATGCAATCCTTCAAACTCAGCGACTTCAAAATCGCCCTATATGTGTGCATGCATGCAGCTGCTATACCGCCGTGGCATGCGCTTGCTTCGGCTCTTCGCGAGCCCCGTCTGCGCCGATCACACCCAATGCTTGCAAACTTTTCGCACCATGCGCTCATGCAAACACACTTCGTGCAACTGCTGCAGTTGGGTGAGCCTCCGTAGAAGTTCATGAACAGCTGCACGGGGGCCTGCCAGATCACCACGCAGGAGTCTGCATGCAGGCAAATGTTCTCGAGACCGGGAGCCCGCCTCGAACTGCCGATCAATGCTTCTTCCGCACGGGAGCTCATGGCATTCAGAACCCTGTTTCAAGAAACCTCTATAGCTCGATCTCTCGTTTGAATCGGCATCCCTCATGATGCAAGCACACTACAATCACTACAACATGAGAAGTCGCTTCGAGAAGACGGTCTGTCGAAGAGGAAACTTGCATGCTCAGCAGGAACCTGCCATGGAAGCTTTCTGCTCTGCAGCACGGTAAGGCCGCAAGCGCTTGCATGGACTCGTCGTCTGAAATCTTGCAAAAAGGGCAGGACTTCACAAGTTGGGAATTGGCTTGCAGACTCATGCGGCTTCGCACCGTGCGAAAACTGAGAGTGTGTATGCATGAGAGTGTGCATGTATGTATATATACATATATATTTTTTTTCTACGTGTATATGCTTTAATTGTGTATTTGCACGGTCTTCTTCTTTTTTTCTCTCTCGAGGGGTTGACTTGACAAGTTTGAGCCAAAAGCGGGGTTTTTTATGGGGTTCTTTCTGTTTTTTCGTTCCGGCCCAAGCGGAAGGATATATAGTCAAATCTCCGTGTTGGAGATGTTGGAAGTATAAAACATCAGCGGAAACAAAATACATCATAATGATGTACGCTGCTCCGGCGTTGCGCAAAGTACACTATCGGAGCCTCACGGAGGGTCGAAGACGTGCAGGAGTACGGCCGCTGCATGTGCCTCTACTCCTGCTTGAAACCGAAGGAGTGGTGGGACAACCGAGGCGTCGAGGGCTTCCACACGCAGAACGACATCTTCACCCGCCCCGAGGTCATTCCGGCCACGCGGTACCGGGATGTGCTCATGGCCCCGTCCCTGCTCGGCCTCTTCAAGGCCGGCAAGATGCTCCCGCCAGAGCTTAACCTGGTTCTTGAAATCGAGTTCGCCCCGCCGGCCGAGGCGGTCAGGCCTGGTGATGCCGGCTCCGTCGACTACGAGATCCAGAACGTGCGTGTGCTGGCTTCGCAGGTCACGCTGGACTTATGCATGTCGGGCTAACTCGGGG